CCCTTGCCCGGGAGGGGGATGGCGGCGGCGGTGCGGCTGCTGCGGGAGAAGTGCCTCTTCACGGCGGAGCAGCTGAGGGAGGTGCTGGGGACCTGCCCCGCCGTGCTGCTGGAGGAGCCGCGCCACCTCCACCACCACTTTCAGGTGAGGGGCCCGGGCTGTTCCCGGGGGTACCCGCCCCAGGGCCGGGAGCGCAGTGCAGGGCCGGGGCTGGGCGTGAAACACCCTGTCCTGCCCGCAGTACGCGTACTTCAGGATGGGGGTCCAGCAGAAGGAGATGGTGAAGGCCCGTCTTTTCCGAATGCCCTTTGCCGAGCTCAGAAACCGGCACATCTTCCTGGAGCGCCGGGGGCTGTACCAGACCCCGCACAAAGGCCAGACCCAAACCAGTAACCCGAAACTGAAGGACATCCTTCAGCTCCCGGAGAAAGACTTCCTGGCGAGCTTGGCCCACTCCACCCCGGAGGAATACGAGGTCTTCAGGAAGCTGCTGGCTCGAGAGGAGGAGGAAGAAGAAGAGGAGGACAGGGATGCACTATATGCAGAGGAAGGTGAAGACTTGGACAGTGAATGAAGTAAAACAGCCCAGGAGTGAAGAGGTGAGGCTCCAAGGTGCCTAAGCTCTCCCATGCTGGTGCAGTCCCTGGCCCCACTGCACTCGTGGGTGCTCTGGGCCCCCACCCCACACAGGCACAAGCCATGGGGGCTGCAGGGCTCCGTGCACAGGGCCCCACTGAGGGGCAGTAATAAATCCTCTGTATCAGAATACAACAACCACCTGCTTTCCTTCTCGTTGACCAATTACTTTAAAAAATACCCAGTTTCCATGACGTTTTTTTATTTAAAAAAAAACAAACAGACAAAATAACTAATTTATTTCCAAGGCTAGGTTAAAACCTTCTGGCTGCATTACATATGGTGCTGGCTGTGGGGTGGGAAGGTGGCGGGCTACCATGCCACGCTTCCCGTCTCTGTGGGGACAGGCCTTGTGACAGAGCTGGCTGGGCCCAAAATGGGACTGTCCCATGGGGGGGCCACCTCCACCTTCGCATCCCGTGTTGGCACAGGGGTGCAAATGCTTTCTGACTACAGCCCCAAAGCCTCCCCTCCCTCAGGGATAGCAGAGGCTGTTCTGGCTTTTCCCTGGCCCTGCTCTTCCAGGCAAGGGCTGGCTTTTTCTCATGGCCTGGGGTGGCAGGACTTCTGTGCTCACCTTGCAGCAGGGAGGCTGGAGCAGGATCAGGCACCCTTAGAGGAAAATGAGGCATGTCCATCTCTGACTCCGATTCTCCTTTGGGAAGTGCAGGAGGGGAAGCATCATGCTGGCCAGCTGGTCGTGGCTCTACACCGTCCCTGCCGCTCCCAGATGCCTCAGCTTTTACGCTGCTCCCAGCAGGGAGAGGGTGGTGCCAGGAGCACCCAAACTCCTGGGCCTGTTCTGCTCCGAGAGCCTCTTCCAGGCTGCAGCTCAATATGTGTGGCTGAACAAGAAAGGGTCCTATGATGCTCGTGGGAGGGGAGGGCTGCCCCCCACACTGCTTGGGAAATAACACTCTATACCATAACTACGATATATCTCTGGTATGTATTAATTTATAATATACACTGTGTACGTTAATACACAAATCTATGTTTAACTAGTGTTGTCATACAACCTCACAAAAACTAGAAACGTTTCTAAGCTACACTTTTTCCTTGCCTGCCCTGCTGCAGCCAGTGGGGTGGCTGCTGTGGGGACTCGCACGCTGGTCTTCTCCTCCAGAAACAACACAGCGGTGGCATGGCTAGTGCCACAGGGAATGCAAATGCTGCGAGCAGCTCAGGGGATGGCGCGTGGAGCTTGCTTTGTCACCAAGCCCGTACTGTGCCCTGCACTTGGAGCCGATTAGCATCAGAACAAGGGTGGTGTTACTCCTTGGCTGACAAACTTCATCCTACAGATCACTTCTAAAATTCTTTCTAGGTGCTCTGTTGCTTTCTGAGCTGGAAATTTGGTTAAAACCAGGGATTGTTTACAAAGCAAAGAAAAAAGGCAGGCAGTAGAAGCTGCCTCAATTTCCCCCGCCAGAGCAGAGGACACAAGGACACGTCTCCAGTGCCCACGCTTGCCTCACTGCTTGGGGAGCTGCTCACCTTTTCTAACTCATCTACATAGGGAAGATCTCCAAGCAGATTTTGGTGGGCCACATTTCAGGTGATAGCTAAGGCTTTTTGGTCTGCGTTAAACTGTTTTATTTGGGGGTTATCGGTAATTTATAACCTTGGATTACGAAAACAAGTTATCGCAGATGCTGTTGGCAGGGAGCTGGGCTCACCCCTGCCGATGCCTGAGCAGAGCCAGGAGCCTGTGGCTCGTGCAGAGTGGCTTGGGGTGCTGAGCGGGGCTGGTCCCCTTGGGGGGCAGCCAGCCAGCTGCCGCGGTATGCTGGCGCTCAGCTCCTTGGGGGCAGAGGCAGCCAGAGTAAGGCAAGCCAGAGCAAAGGCAGTGCTGGTCCGGCGGAGGGAAGGGAGTGCTGCTCGACCTGCCAATCTGGCTGCCTGTCCCTAATGGGCTGGAGGAGAGGGAGAGGCTGATGCCAGGCAGGAAGGTTCCCTCGCCGTGTTCAACTCAGTGAGCAGATCTGATCTTCCTGGTGTTTCAAAAGCCCTTAGATGTGGAAAGACGAAGCTTCTACTGCTTTGAACCCTGTGAAGGGGCAGGAAGAGAATGAACTGGTGTGCAGAGTCCCCATGAGCTCTGCAGCTCCCTCTTCCCACCCTGTGCACCCTATGCACCCGTCTCAGTCTGGGAGAAGGGGACCTGCCCTCTCCAGGGCTCCAACCTTTACCTTGCTGGAGGCTTGCCCTGCAGGCAGCGCCCAGGCCCTTTCTGTGCAGGAATCTCTGGTTCATGGGGCTGCAGAGCTGCAGGGGAGCCTTCTACTCTTCCACCCCAGCCACAACCAGAAGCCCTCAGCCACGTGCCCAAGCCCAACCAGCGCAGCAGCGGGAGAGCCCTCGCACCCCCTTGACATGGCAGCATGAGCCTGGGCTGTGCTGTGCCCTCTGCCCTTTTCCTCCCTGACTCCATGTGGGGATGCAGGCAGCCACAGGCAGGGGCTGCCCCCGCCCGCGGCTGGGGGGGGGCCGGGGGGCTGAGGAGGACCTGGAGCAGGTACTTACTTTATGGCTTCTTCAGTGTATGACTGTTGCTTGGTTTTCTGAAAGAGAAGGGAGGAGAGCACTGTCAGCCCTGCAGCCCCTAGGCTGTCACTCACAGGGAGGGCAGCACAGCTGGAGTCTGAGCCTCAGTTGTGCACTCCTTGCACTCTGTTCTGCATGGGGTGCCTGCACCCCTCTCCCAGCCCACCCCCAGCCTAGGCACCCCTGCGTGTGCTGGGTGACACTGGCTGGCTGCATCCTCCTGTCCTGGGCCACGAGAAGGCTGGTGTGTTTCGTGAGCTGCTGCTAGCTGTACCTGCTGGTTGTCTTCTTGGAACCAGTGCTCTCGCAGCTCTCCTTGTAGCAGACATCCTGGTGTACCTTGTAGACTCTCCTGTACCTGCACACACAGCAGAGGGGTGAGTTGTAGGGAATAATAGGGACAGATCTGCTTTTACGCGTGCGAGGGCGGAGTTTGGGAGTCTCCCCTGTTTCCTTCCAGGTTGTGGTAGCCAGCCTTGATAGGAACAGGGCTGAGCCTGCTGTGCTTGAGGGCTGACCCCACACAGCCAGGCCCTTGTGCCTCCATCAGAGGAAGGCTGGAGGGCATGAGGGGGCAGAGCAGAGGCCCCCATGCCCTGGCAATGCAGCAGGGCTGGCCCCAGCCTTCTGCTTGCAGATGCAGAGGCAGCCAGGAACTTGTCTGTCAGGCAGCAGGCAGGGGATCAGCTACTGCTTGGGGGGTCATGCACACCAAATCCAACCTCACTGCCACATAGGTGGGTAACACTGCTATGGGGCTGTCATTTCAGCAACACCCTGCCGTGAAGCACAGCTGGCAGGGCAGCCCTGGGGGCTCGAGGGCAGATGAGGCTGCTCAGCCTGCGCTGGGGAGGGGGCAGCTGCAGCCACCTGGCAGCTGCCAGCTGGGGTCTGAGATGGCCTCACACTCGCTCTCCCTTCCCTGGAGCCGAGCTGCGGGGAGACATCCCCAGCTCTGAGCACAACCCACAGGCAGTACTCACAGGTAGTGGCAGGTGCCTCCTTCCCACACGGGGAATGACTTGGTTTCCGAGTACAGCCGTGTGCACGAGTGTGGCACCTTCTTGCAGGCTGCTTGGGGAACAGGAGAGGGGAGCTATCAACAAGCCCGTCTCTGGCCCTGCCTGCCTGCGCCCTGTGGCTTCCCCTCTGCTGTCCTGGAGGGCTGGGCACAATAGAGCTGGCCCACCAGGAGAAGCAGAGCCCCCAGCCCTGCATGCCCAAATAACTACATGGGCAAGGCAGGAGCCTGGCTTGCCAGGCTGCCTGGCAGAGGCAGAGGGCTCGGCCAGAAGTGGGGAGCAGACCTGTGCTCCCAGATCTGCCCGAACCAGGAAGAGCAGAGGCCAGCCCCTCTCTCCGCTGTTGGCACAGCATGGCTCGCTCTAGTAGAGCCCAAGTACGGTGGGAGCCTCCTCAGCCAGGAGGAGCCGGGTGTTGACAGGGTGTGCTCGGTGACCTGTGCCCTGGGGGACCTGTAGCTGGGGCAGCTGCCAGGCTGGACACATGCAGTCTGCCTGCAGGAGGGAGCTCGGCCCTCCGACAGCAGCGAGGCACTCACCCAGCTCACAGAGCCGGCCCTTGAAGCCCGGGCGGCAGTCACAGTGGTAGGACTCAGCGTCCCTAGCGCAGGTGCCTCCGTTCCTGCAGGGGTTCGTGGAACAGTTCTGCCCCTCACCTGCAAAACATGTATGGCTGTCAGACCCTGGGGCCATGGTGCAGCTCTACCAAACCCCCGGTGTGTCAGGGTGAGCAGCAAGCAGGCAAGCAGGAATTGTGTATTTGGCCGGGGTCCGTACCC